GGACATCCGCAATTAAATCCTGAAGACCTCATACCGCAATACCCCCCTCGCTCGGACCGCCTCCTTCCCTCACTCCCGGCTTCCCTTCCTTGCGTCTTAGCCCGCCCCGTTAGATCTCGAGCGGGAGACCACAGGAAGGTGACCGAAGGACATGGAGGAGGAGTCCCTCCCAGTATAATTGGGGATGGTCGCGTAGGTCGCCAGATCGGGGATTGGGGGCTCCACCCCCCCACCCAGAACCAGAAACTCCCGTCAGCACCGCTTCTTAGAAACACAGTCAGCACACTGTCGCTCCCAACCAAGCTCAAATGAAGGCCTCAATCCCCAAATACCTCCTCGACTCTCGACTCCTCCTCCCCTCTCGGGACCTGACCCGGAAATCGATCCCACAGCACGGCCGGGACAGCGGGCGCATTTTTACCAAGGGACGTCCCAATAGCTGAAATGTTAGCACGGAGGAGGCGAGAGGGGGTGAGGGAGGAGGGTGGCGGGAGGAGATGAAAAGGAGGATACACGCGAGCAGACCTAACGCGGTAGTGTTTTCACCTCCGCGTAATAAAAGCCCCGCCCCCCACGCTTCACCAGCTGGTCCATTTTCCCAAACAGAGAAAACTGACAATCTGGAAGATGAGCCGGAACCCGCAGCCGTAAATGTTATATGATCTAAGCTCCGTGGAATATTATGTTGCAATTCATTTCTAAAAAGGGCTTTGACCATTACTATAATTATCAATTTTATTTAAATGTTAGTGGCTCATTTTACCACCCCATCAACGGAACCACAAAAGCCAAGAACCTAACCATTCATGGGCATTGATCCTTGACTAACAAGAGAAAGATATCATGCGTCATTAAATAAAATCCTTAACAGCAAATGGCCGGTTCTAAGGGGTTATTCAAGTTAAGCCCGATGGAGGGGATACATTAAGTCAATGGGCAAGAAAAGCTGTTTCCGGGCCCTGGCAACGCAAATCGGAACAGTGCGCAGTACGCCTGCCGTTTGGGCCCAGCACGAATATTTTCATCAGAGTCCCGCGGGGCAGTTCCTGGGGGCTTGGTTCTACCTTTTTTTCCAACCCAGTTAGATTACAACCACGCCCACTCCGCATTACGCAAAGGATCGACAGAAGCCTACGCGATAGCGTCATGACTTAATCTTCCGGGCATTTCAGCGTCGCGGTAAAGAGGATAGTTGAATAGTTGGTTTGTCTTCCCAAAGATTTAGTTGACCTGAAAGTAAACAATCCTGATAATCAAAAGAACTATCGAAGAGTCTTGGAGATTGAATTACGGTGTTTTTAATCAGCTATAAATAGCCTGTGTGTATCCTCAAATTGTCCGTTTTCAGGACAAACCAAAAAGACGTTTAAATACTAAAAAAATAGCCTGTGTACCTCAAAGTTCGTTTAAGAAACACGTTTTAAATATCTATCAGCTAGTGTGAAGTGCAGTAATATTGAATAAAACCTTGACTTATACTGTGGTACTTCATATTATCTGACAGGCGATTATCTTAATGAACTATTTTATATAATACAACCACACAATTTATTCATCTTAATATATATATATATAACAACACAAGATATAATGTACTCATACACCGCTTATCATTTATACACACAGATGTATCATTCATTATCTACACACACTCACATAATCAACTCTAAAATCAATAATTTGTACACACCACACACATAAATAAAATAAACCACCCGCAAGCAACCACTATAGAAAGAGAACAGTTTCAATAATAAAGCTAATGAATGGCATGGAGTCAATTCATCCCCTTTGGTTTTGGCTCCCATAATTTCACATTAAA